CCCATCTTCCATAAAGTTAACAAGTTAATTCTGTCATCTCATGAGGCTACACCTATAAAAAATCATTTGGAACCCTTAATAAGGTTTACAACTTCAATTACTTAATTATCATTCAATTGTTTTCAATTATTACAACATTATTATATTTATAATAATCTTCCTTTTAATAAAAATTATTCATTTAATTAATTCTTCAGATCTAGCCTGCCCTAATACTGAAGGACTCTGGACAGTGAATCATAAAGCTTAGACCAGGGGTTTAGACCAGAGTCTCCAAACTTGGCGACTTTAAGACTTGCTTAAAAGCTTAAGATCAGAGGTCTTCAACTTGGCAACTTTAGGACTGGTGGACCTCAGCTCCCAGAATTCCCCAGCGATCAACACTGGCTAAGGAATTCTGGGAGTTCAAGTCCCCCAGTCTTAAAGTTGTCAAGTTTGGAGATCCCTGGTTTAGACCAGGTATGTAGGAAAACATGTAAGAAAAACAGGGAAGACACGGTTACACACCATAAAAATTCCAAATAAAATTAACCATCTAGCTAACCAAGTTACTTACGCCTCCCTGGCTTAGCCACTCTGGCCCTGCATGAATAAGATACAAAGTTCAGTAGAGGTTTGCAACATCTGGCAGAGAACGGAGCTGTCAAAAGATTGTCAGGGTCCCCAGCTTCGATGTTGGTAGGCAGGCAAGCCCTGGCTTGTTATTGTTGGTCTTTTCTATTCCTTCTTCCAATTTATGGAGCAAGGAGGATAATTTCCTCTTTGGGGAAATTGACAGTTGCTTTGCCCAGGTGGGTGAAAATATCCTCTGGATGTAGTCAGCAATTCAAAATTTATTCTGGACACAAATCCACTTTTTCCCTAATAGTGGACTAAATGAGCTTCTATGAGAGGTTTTTAAGGAAACAAATCTGGATTCCATTTATTGGGCTGTCTCATAACTTATGAAGTGCTTTAGGAGGTGCTGTAGTTCCATATTGAATATTATCCTAGCACCCCACTTTCCTGAGAGTCAAAGCAATTAATCAGTGGAACAGAAGTTGCCTCCAGAAGTTGTGGGCGCTCCATCACTGGAGGTTTTAAAGAAGAGACTGGACAGACATTTGTCTGAAATGGTATAGGGTCTCCTCCCTGAGCAGGGGGTTGGACTAGATGACCTCCAAGGTCCTTTCCAATTCTGTTATTCTATTATTCCGAGCCAGGACAGGCTTGTCAGCTGGTCTAGAGGCCAACATTTCGTGAGCAGAATCCCCACAAGTGTCCCACCGTTAGCCACACCTGGAACGCCTCTCTTCCTGTAGCCGCTTCTACCTTGGGGTCTGCTAGCGAGAGGAGTCAGCGCTGACAATTAGCTAAGCCTCGTTAGGAATTGAGATGAGGCCCCGGCGTTNTTCCTTAAGATGCAGTGCCCAGAATGGAAGAGAGCCTACCGAGTGTAGCTTTGCTGCTAATTTGCTTCAAGGCTTGGCTGTGGATCCTTCTTTCTCTTTGCAAGGATCCCTCCTCTCTGGAGGATTCCAAGCATGAAATTCCCCGTTTTTGTGGGATAGCCCTGAAGCTGATTGCCCTTTTCATCATTCTGTCCTCCTTTGTGACTTCAAAGCCGCTTTCCAATCAGTCACGGCAGCCCCAAACCCTCTTAATGTATAAATCCAGTGATGCTGCCAGTCTGCATCCCTGATACAGGTACTCCTCAACTTATGACCACCATTTGGGTCATAAGTCAAGGAGCCCAAAATTTCTGTTGCTAAGCGAGATACGTTTTTAAATATTTTTTCCCCCGTTTTATGATCTTTCTTGCTATGGCCTTTCTTAAGTGAATCTCTGCAGTTGCTAAGTTAAGCTGTTAAGTGAATCTGGCCTCCCCGTTCACTTTGCTTATAAAGAAGATGGCAAAAGGCAATCATGTGACCCTGGGACACTGTGGCCGTTGTAAATAGCAGCCATTTGACAAGCGTCTGAATTTTGATGACCCTGGGAATGCTGCAACGGTTGTAAGTGTGAAAATGGAATGGAACGGAATGGAATAGAATAGAATAAAGAGAGAATGGAATGGAATAAAGAGGGAATGCAATGGAATGGAATGGAATAAAGAGGGGATGGAATGGAATAAAGAAGGAATGGAATGGAATAAAGAGGGGATGGAATGGAATAAAGAGGGAATGGAATGGAATGGAATAAAGAGGGAATGCAATGGAATGGAATAAAGAAGGAATGGAATGGAATAGAATAAAGAGGGAATGGAATGGAATGGAATAAAGAAGGAATGGAATGGAATAAAGAGGGAAGAATGGAATGGAATGGAATAAAGAGGGAAGAATGGAATGGAATAGAATAAAGAGGGAATGGAATGGAATGGAATAAGGGAATGGAATGGAATAAAGAGGGAAGAATGGAATGGAATGGAATAAAGAGGGAATGGAATAGAATGGAATAAAGAAGGAATGGAATGGAATAAAGGGGATGGGATGGGATGGAATGGAATAAAGGGAACGGAATAGAATAAAGAGGGAATGGGATGGAATGGAATAAAGAGGGAATGGAATGGAATGGAATAAAGAGGGAATGGAATAAAGAGGGAATGGAATGGAACGGAATAGAATAAAGAGGGAATGGAATGGAATGGAATAAAGAGGGGATGGGATGGGATGGAATAAAGAGGGAATGGAATGGAACGGAATAGAATAAAGAGGGAATGGGATGGAATGGAATAAAGAGGGAATGGAATAGAATGGAATAAAGAGGGAATGGAATAGAATAGAATAGAATAGAATGATCATTTTCAGTGCTGTTGTAACTTTGAATGGTCACTAAATGAACTGTTATAAGTTGAAGACTACCAGTACATAGCTAAATGTCTATGGAGATTCTCAGTCACCCAGGTCATAGTGGATGAGAAGCGAAAGGTCTTCAGAGAAAAAAAACAAGAATGTCCAGTTGCCTCGTGAAAAAGCATCTTTGGGACTACCGGTACATCTTTGCCCTCAACTGCCTTTGCCTCAAAGCCCACTCGTCTCTCTTCACAACCCCCCTTGGATTTGACCAGCTGCAGAATCTACTGAGATAATAGCTGGAGTTCCCTATCACTCCTCACCAAATATTGCCCGACCCCTCCACTCTGAGTAATATATTGTGCCAGCCCAAGCAGTGTGTGTGTGAGTGTGAGTGTCAGTGAGAGTGAAAGGGAGGGAGGGGAGGGAGGGAGGGAGAGAGAGAGAGAGAGAGATTTCCTCGCACAATTGTCTTGCAGTCCTGAAAGCAAACTCTCTCTCCTCATATGTATCGGAGGCTGGGGAGAACCAGAAGCAATCTCTCCAGGGGCCTCATAGAAAATCCAGCCACGTCTGGAACAGGTGAAGCTCGGGATTAGGCAAATACGCAGCCTCTTCCGAAGGGGAAGATTTAGAACAAAGGTTGTTTGCCCTCTCCCCCCCCTCCCCCAGAGAATTAGCACTACCTGATGACACAGTCCCGATGTGTTGCTTTCAGTGTTCATTGTCTAACACATCTGGAAAGTGCCAAGTTGGAAAGGCCTGCCCTAAAAAAGACCCAGTTCACAGCTGGGCGTCCTCTATTCATTTATTCATTCCATTTCTATAGCTGCCCAAATTAACCAAGTGACTCTGGGTGGATTAAAATGCTAAAACAATTTGAAAATATTAAAACAGCGAAAACAAAAACCGAATAAATTTCTCATCACTGTCACCCTCAGAATCTCAAGTGTTTTTTGGGAGGGGGAGAGGAATGAACTAAGAGCTGTCCGGTTCATCTTTGAATGTGAACCTGCTTAAATGAGACTTTCGGAACCAAAACAGGAAATGGTTTATTAGAGATAAACCATTTCTCCCATTTTGGTGCCGTTCTCCGTCACAAAACAGCTGGAGGAAAATGAATTACTGTGTGTGAATTAACACAGGAAAAAATGACTGTAGGGAGAGGGGCTTGCAAAGTAGGGGAATATTCTGGAAAAGGTCACGAAAAATACAAATGAGAAAGGATGTGTGACAAGAAATGGAATCACGTGTGGTTGGAAGAACATGTAGTGAAACCAACTGGAAATGCTTGGGAGAATCAGAACAACTTCCAGCTGCTTCCTTCTGCCCAGGACACAGGTCACCTTCATGCCCCAATTGGTCCCAGCCGGGATCCTGAAGCTGGTGGTCCAAGAATGTGGCTTCTCTCCAGAAAGAGCCTGGAAACCCCTCTGTCTGGGTCTTATCATTAATACCTATCCTTTTCAGAGCAAATTTAGTGGCCCCTGGCTTGAGCAGTCATATTCTCTGTGGGCCCCGGGGGGTGGGGAGGGTGGCAGTGAGAACAGGAGTTGTGGGTACTCCATCACTGGAGGATTTTAAGAAGAGACTAGACAGCCATTTGTCCAACATGGGATTGGGTCTCCTGCTTGTGCAGAGGGGGTGGACTAGAAGACCTCCAAGGTCCCTTCCAACTCTATTATTCTGTTAATCACCAAAACAGTTTGTCTCCAAAAGTTGTGGGTGCTCCAACACTGGAGCTCTTTAAGAAGAGACTGGGCAGCTACTTGTCTGGCATGGTAGAGGGTCTTCTGCTTGAGCAGGGGGTTGGATTAGATGACCTCCAAGGTCTCTTCCAGCACTGTAGTTCCGAGTCCTCTCCTTGCTCCTTCTTGGCATTGGCCAATCCAAAGTTCAGAGGCTCATCTGTGCCAGGAGCCCCAAAGAGGCTCGTCCACCGGGGCTGGGTTCTCAGGACCGGAGGGCTCTTCCCGGATCTTTCCCAGCCCTCCTTCCCCCTGCAGGTGACCAACGAAGAGATGTGTGAAGTCTGTGAGGTGTGGACGGCAGACAGCCTTCTGCCCTGCCGGGTGTGCACCAAGGTCTATCATGATGGCTGCCTGCGGCGCATGGGCCTACTCTCCCCAGACGAGGCCTCGGAGGCCATCGAGGCGGCCCACTCCACCGTCGGCTGGAGCTGCTACCACTGCGTAAGCCACGGGGCTGGGAGGGGGCCTACAACAGCTCACCGTGGCCAGCTTACTGCGGCCAACTCATCTCACCAGCTCAGTGGGGGACAACTCACCACAGGACAAGAGTTACCGTAATGTCAAAGAAGTAGTGGAAGGAAGGATGCCAGAGGAGGGAGAAGATAAAATGTGAATGACGGCAATTAAAACATTTTTTAAATTATTTTAAATAATTACATTGAATTGTTGAATTGTCCCATGGCAAGTTGGCCCGTTCCGCTGGGAGGGGAGCAGGGAGGCCACGGAGGGCATAAGCCGGGCTGGTCTTGCCAGACCCTTTTTGGGAGATGGGTGCCGAGAAAGATTTGGGAAGTGGGACGGGTGGGGAATGGCAGAGGGGAGGGTCAGGGGGCAGGGAATATATGGTTGTAGAGGCAAGGTGCATTTAGTTATGGGAAGATACGGGGGGGGGGGGGGGGGGGGG